ATTCACATTCATTCAAGAATTTGGCTTGGAAAGGTTTAGGTTAGCACACAAGGTTTGATTTTGGAAGTCTGCCAACTTTTTCAATAATTTGTTTTATTCCGTAGCTCTTTGAAGGTCACAATCTCAAGAAGAGATTGGTTAGCATGCGATTACTAGTTGAGGTGGTCATAGGTATAAAAGTGCATGATGAAGTTTGCGTCAATATGAAATTAGAGAAAGGTTGTACTATTTTCAGTGAAACTGTCATGTGTGGTAAAAAGAATAAAAAATAATTAGGATTTATTACATTCCTAGAATGATCATCTGACCGAATAAAGTAATGGAGAACATTATTATTGAATGTGTTTCCTTTTAAACAGATGTTGCATGAACCTATACAATGCTTAAGTTAATCTTATTTTGGAGTCTACACATGATATATTTGTAAGATTTTACATTGACTTGACATTTACATTATCAATTGACCAGGCCGTTGCTTATATAGTGAGGATTATTTAGGTCTGTATTGGTGAAAGAACCAAATATTGTTGAAGCGAATACCTAAACCAGATTGTCTTTTACTTTTGCTTTCCAGATACCAACATTTGTAGCATACAAACTCCTTAGTTTTGTTAAAGGATTTATGTCACTTGGTTCAGAGGTATTCTTTCCACCAGATATATGTTATATCTTTGTAAGCAAATACAAAGCATCTGTAAGAGTTGGTGTGATAAGTTGGTCTCACTAGTATCAAAATAATGTTCAACAGGGACCTAAAGATGATGAAAAGTCGAGAAAAAAGAGAGAGAAGATGGAAAGGAAAGCTTCAAAACCCAAATTTGTACAGACAAGAAATTGATTGTGCGCACAGACAAGAAATTGATTATGCACTTCTGAAATGATAGACTAGCTCTTGGTTAGATCTTAATGTCTCTCGAGTATGACAGATTGCTCTGATATCTCCAAGTAATGTGAAATCAAGTTCGGCTGTCTGGTTTTGGATGGGAAGAACTTTAATGTGCTTGTCATTTTGGATGGGAGGAACTTTATGTTCTTGTCATGGATGCATATTCTCGATCTAATGTGTTTTCATTGTCATCTTTAAGTATTTTTATCGATGTACTTAATTTTCCTGAACTACATGAATCTTTTTAGTTTATCCTAATGTCGTGTTTGATCTTAGAATTATGGAGAGATTTATTGATAGAAATAAAAAGGATTTGTTGAAAAATGATAACGTTTTTAATCTTTCCATCATTTTTTTTCCCCAAAAATTTAAAATCCGAAAACCCAAAATGAAAAGGGAAGAATGAAAACATACCAAATTGCTCCTCAACATCATATGAGGAATTCTGATTCCTATTTTGAGGAAGTTATGAAATCAAACTCTATATGTCATTCAACGGCTAACCAGAAGCACAAAACAAACAGTGGATGATCGGCAGCATCACATATTTAAAATTTTATTCAAAAATATCAATGCATGGTCTAGTTTTAATCTATACATGAGTGTCATGATACATTATTTTGAATCTCAACCCTTCACTTTTAAAAGGAATGGGTGCTCATGAAGTCCCCAATCCTAGTAAATTAAAAGGTTCATCAACAAACCATCAAAAAATAAAATAAAATTTTCCAACAAGCCATAATCAATAAAATTCATGTTGTATTTGTATAATGTTCCATTCATGAAACCCATACGCAAATTGCTAGTGTGTGTATATATATATATATATGAAAAAATAAACAGAAAACAGAGAAATTTCTAAGGTCTTTGGTTTGTCTAATCAAAGTGTAATTCATTCTGGATCAATCAAGACAAAGATTTTTCTTACTTACTGAATTGGAATTGTCTTAGGAAACATTACAATTTATTAAAGGCTAGTAATAATCTGTATTACAATATTTGTATTCTTTTCGGGTTTTGGCTCTGAGGGCAACTAGAGTCTAACAAGTAAAAAACATTCATAAAAATTTGGAAAAACTACATGAGACTACAATCCTATAAAGCTCCAAGATATACAAACTCTTTTCCTCAAACCAAAATACCATCGTCTGGCTTACTGTAAGCATATCCACCATCTGCTCCATCTAGTAAATAGAGATATGAATCTCCTTAATTTGACTAACCAAATGGCCTTTGATATAGTCGAGTAGGAAAGAAGGATTCATGTAGCTGACTCCATTTGATGGGACTAAAGGTTTGGTTTTGTTTGGTTTATTTTCTTCTGACTAGCTGTATGTACTCAGCACAAGAAGGTTTTGAAAAGTCACTAATAAGAATAAAAAGTTGGCAGACAATTGCGGTAGAAGATATTAATGCCACAAGGAATCCATTATTGAAATTAACGGAATTGAGAAGTTAATGTTCTTGTAAAAAATAAAAATAAATAAATAGTAGATTTGAAACTAGAATTTCATTGATGAAGTCCATTGGAAAGAGAGAGATCTAAGTTTTTTGCTTTTACTGTATATTCTAGAAGGGATAGGTGTTTAGAGAGGCTAGTTGGAATTCAAGGATTGTTTATTACAACATCCTAATGGAAGAAATGTGGAAGTGCAAGATTAGGGTCTCTTGCTTCCTTTTGTGATAACAATATAGATATAGATACTATGTGTATATTCCTTACTGGGTGTAGCAAGGCCTATATTGTAGAACAATTACTCCTGAAATGCATCAAACTCATGTTTTATGCCATGGTAATGTATAGTAATATACTGGCACACACGCACGTCCCCATGAATGTCCATCATACAATATTTTAGCTGCTTGAAGAAAATACAAACTGATAGCTATGGCATGGTGCATACCTAGGGATGTTCGAGGAAAAAAGAAAAAAAAATGGTTTTTCAATTCAAACTGATGGAATCAAATTCTGATGGTAGTTTGGCCACCTTACTTGTGCCGCACTTGGTACTTATTGCCTTATCATTTACGATGTAGTCATGAAGTCATTTCCCCATTTCTTGTCACTCTTCTTCCTTGCAAGATACAAATTTCACAGGAAACACTTGCTATCGTTCTAGTATACTGTTCTGTTTGAGGATACTTCTGCAAATAATTTTGATAACATATTTTTTTACCATCTGATGTGTCAATACTTCATTGGTTTATTGAGTTCCACCACTCATCTTTGTTATCAATGCAGTGGTGACACATGACATGGTAAATAAAATATGGTAAGAAAAAGTGGTCATTATAATGTTATTGCAGAAGTATCCTCAAACAGAACAATTGTTTGTTTATAGTGCAGTAGTGACGCATGAGATGATAAACAGAATATGGTAAGAAAATATGGTTATCATAACATTATTGTACTTCTTCACAGCTAACATAGATTTCATTTTACTTGGAGGCAGAGTTGTAAGATGAAGAAATCTAGTCTAGTTGCTTGAGATCATTGATACGTAAATTAGCTGACCTAAGTTCCACTGTGAAGTTGGTTGATTTTTTAGTAAAGCTCGAATATAACTTGATAAGTTTTTGGCAATTGGAGTTTTATGTGAAACCAAAGAACTAGTTCAATTGAGAGCCATACAATTGTGTTGAATATTGAATTGGTTTGCAAGTGTGAATGAATTTTATGTCTGTTTTTCTTTATCCAAAGAAACCATGCCATCGACTTCAATCCAAAAACCCCTACGTGGAATACTTCTACCTTTTCTTTTCTTTTCTTTTCTACTTTTTCCCCCTTTTTCAAAGATGCTCGTGAACTTGTTATAGTGTTTGGGTCCAAGATAAACCATTTTCCAAACTTCTGTAAAAAATTAAAAAAAAAAGAAAAAAAGTCCATGCTACAGGATAAACTAAGCTACTGTTGCATTCAAGAAATTATTGAACCAAGCTCAACAATTTATTTATTGACCTGCCTACAAAACTTCTCCTTGCTTGTTCAAAACCCTAGTCAGCCTGTCTGGATTTGACAATCGCCATGTCAAAAGGTGGGCATGCAAGAAGGCACTTGTGAAAGATGGTCATTGTTTCGAAGCAATGGAACTTGTTGTGCTACCAGGGGAATTTTTCTATAATAAATTTAAAAGTCGAGGCAAGAGATCTTTAATTTGAAATTCTCAGTTTTATATTGATTGCAATGATTTTCTACCTTTCGTCTTATTCTTCTCCTTTTTTTTTTTTTTTTTTTTTATTGGATGTAAAGTAGGAATGCCCACCTGGACGTTTTCAACTCAGTTAAGAACAGTGATGACATTCAAGTATGCTGCTTTACAAGTATACATTTATAGGTCTATGCTGCTTTATTTTATTTATTTGTTTGTTTATTTTTGCTGATAAGTATATCTACAGGTCTATGCTTGGGGAATCTGATTGGACTGCTGATTTGTTTGTTGATATTTCTTGATAAATAGATGTTTAAATCAGGGGCTTATTGTTCTTCTTTTGATACTATTTCGTAGATAATGGTTAAACCATGAGTTTTTAATATTTGACGTGGTTCGGCCAATATTGACTTACATCTACACACAAAGCCCTAGAAGGATACATCTTTCATTCACTCGACTTTAATACTCTTGTTTACATGATATACCATATGTATAGAGTGAGAGATACAATCAAAACTCTTTAATTAAGAAATTGAAATAAATCAAAAATACAAAAAATCGTAATAAGCCCAAATATGAGATCTGTATGTATTCTGATATCTTCCTTATCCTTTCATATATATGACAATATAATTTTTTTCTCTAATAAAAATGGCATTATATGTTTACGATAGTTATCCTTTGAATTGTTTGTGTTGTTGCTTTAAATTCTGGGGCTGAAACTTTGTTTCTTATATTTTATTTTTCTTAATTTTTTTTTCATTTTTATAAGAGAGAAAAGAAACAGTTTTTAATTCTTTCAATTCCATATCTATTGCGAATGCTCTTTCTTCTACTATTGCTTTCTTTTGTTTGTTCAGTCCACAAGTTGTTTGTCATGGCATTTGTTGGTTCCCTGTCTGAGATTGTTTCTAATTTTTTTTGGGTGTGTGACTCATCTCATGGAAAAAATGAGGACACAATAAAGGAATGCTCAAAAGCATTAGAACTGAATTCCAATTATGTGAAAGCTCTACGTAGAAGAGGAGAGGCTCCTGAAAAACTTGAACACTTTGAAGAGGCTATTGCTGGTAAATTTAAATTCAATACTTGTGCACTATTATCAATATTTAAATTTTAAATGATAGCTGTCTGCAGGTTGCCTTCACTTTAAATCTTACATTTACAGTACCATTTAAGTCTGCAGGTTGATGAGGAATAAACCTTGAAACCACAACGATGAGTGCAAATACTATGGGAAGGAATGAAAATTTGATGGGGTCATTTTTTGCATAAAATTGTAGAAAAATAAAATGGACTAAAGAGGTTATTGTCTGAACGAGGACAAAAGCAAAAGAATAACATCCAAAGGCGACAAATGATCGAAGACTATATGTCATGGCTCTTCTTGCCACAGTATTTTCACTCGTAGGACTAATCCTGGCACTACTTGAGATGATACAAAAAGCACTAATTTCCAGAAGATGGATGAATTGTAGATTTCTGTGGGTTAATGTTGCTTTTGCCCTAGTTCAAACAATAACCTCTTTAGTCCATTTTATTTTTCTACAGTTTTATGCAAAAAATGACCCCATCAAATTTTCATTCCTTCCCATAGTATTTGCACTCATCGTTATGGTTTCAAGGTTTATTCTTCATCACACCGACACCATTGAAGCCCATTTTTCCCATGGCAATCGAACTCATAATGTTGTTGAAGAGAAAGTTGACGGAGAGAACCGTGATCAACTGCACATCAATGCATGAACTTTGCTAAAGAAGTTCTCAGTTCGTTTGCCTGACATCTTTATGCTGGGATCCATTTGCCTGACAAGATTTAATGCAAGATTAAAATCCCAACAATTTATCTTGTATTTATGGGATTTAATGTAAATAAATTTAATGATTAAATTCACAAAAATTCTATAACTATTATTTCATAACGGGTATTATTTCAACAGTTCATTCGTTTCCTTCATCTTATTGAATTTTTTATTTTTATTTTAATCAAGAACCCATCCTAGGCAAGGCCCTTTAGACCCACGTCGAGAAGGTAAAGTTGAGGTTCAAAGGCCACCTTCTAAGCCAATGAACCGGGCAAACTGGAGGGGCTTTGAACCCTCATCACTAGCATGGGAAGCATACCCATTTTCAAAGTTCTATTGGACTGTATTCTTGATACTCAAACACGGAAGTAAACAAAATAGAGCTTCATCCCAACAATCTGGTTTGGGTATTGAATTTTAAGGAGAAGACGAATTTGAGGTTTGAACCCACTCAAGCTAGAAGTGACTTACTGAACAATCCAAAATAGTCCGCAGCACCAAGTGGTTTGTCACACAGTTCTTCAAAAGGAAAATATGCGCATCTGTTAGCACCCAATGGAACCTGGCAGTGGAAGAAAAATAAAATAAAACAACTGCTCTCTCTGTCTTATGACTTAATAAACCAAAGGCGATGTAGAACGGGCACACACCGATTGTTGGTGAAGATTTTATTTATAATTTTACAAATTGTAATATTTATGTTTATTTATTTTTTCTTCTTTAGGCTAATTAGAAATTTTATTAATATTTAGTATTCTAAATGTTGAAACTTTTGCTTAAGAAGGCCAGTTAGCTCTTTCCCAACAAAGTAGAAACCTTGCTCAGCCTAAAGTTCAAGTGAAATATAACAAGAAGAATTTATATGAGACGAAATTACAAGGTGAAAATTCAAACATGATGTTTTAATGAGTAAAAGAAAAAAAAGAGAAAAAAAAGAGAGAGTTAATAACGTTACCGAAGTCATTTTCCGGTAATCTGTTGATGATCCAATCTCAAGAACTACACATCTTTCCTACATCAAAATAAATTTCCAAGCTTAACTAAATAAAAAGTAAAATAAAAAAATTCAACAAAGACATGGTCAATGAGGCCTTAAGTTTCTCATCTACAGGCATACCTTCAACGTGGAAATGAATGGTAGAAAAAGATCTCTCTGCAATCCACCTTTATAAAGGTTGTCTGGAGCACGATTTGAAGTAGCAACAAGAATCTATACTTGCAGACATATACAAGTTTTATTTCTGAGTCAAAAATCCACATGTCGAATGCATAGAGCCTAGAGGCTGAGAACATATAAAAATTAGTAGATTAAACTATTTACAACGTCAATGCTGAATAAATGTCCAAATAAACGGTTTAATATCAATGCATCAGCCACATCAGCCACCTATGAAAAAAACATAGAAAAATGGAACTTAACAACAGGAACAGAGTAAAAGGCTAGTAGATACCATCCATGATGATAAAAAACAGAAATGATGCTGCTATTTTCAAGTTCCGACATACCATAAATTCGTTGAGGCATAACAAAATTGATTCATCAGATATCTCCCCTGTTACAAATTCAAGGGGATCCGGCACACCCTTATGCTTCTGCAATTATACAATACTATAGCATTAAATTTATACTTCAGTACGCAGCACCTATTTCCAAGTAAAGTCGCCAAGAAGAAGATGGAAATTGGTCCAAAAGAAGATATTTTTGACTAAATTTGAAAGTACTTTTCAGGATAGAGCCATGGTCCATGAACTCTAAGATTTAGCTATCTTGACCACCGATTCAATGAAATGAACGGCTAGAGAAGAAGATCATATATCCAAGATTTTTGTTGTATGACATTTAGATGGCAACTCATCTTGGAGATGATCACTGGCTCATTAAAAACTGTCAGTACTAGTGTCAATTACTTGTGGTGCAAATGACAAGCGGCAAACGAAATAGTCAATTTCTAACAAACTTTCTATCTTGTTTGCAGTTAGAAGAAATATGGATAATTCTTACTTGCAAGTGGCTATCCAACATGAAATCATGAAAATGAATCCTCTTTTTCCTCCAGTTGCTAGGCCTGAAAGTATAAATACAAATTACGAGGAAAAAAACCAGTGAATAATAATTGCTTAGTATTCGCTCGGCATTATGCTTATGATTTGCAATTGATGGTGGGCAGCTCATGTTGTCATATTCAAATCAATGTTAAGGTCACCTATAAGGCAAATTAATTATGCACATCAAACATACAATTGATCAAAAAACAAGTCCATCAGCACGGTCCATAGAGATAAGAGTCCTTTCACAGGTGAATATGAAGACTGAGGAATGAAACGGGACCACAACCAACTACTCCTAAAAATGAAAGAAACAGTGAATCAATGACAATGAAGTTATAAACTTTATTAAAATTTGACAACTCCAGTTCATAAAAAATATATATAGTAAAACTCAAACAACAAGATCATGATATGCCTTATGAGCAAGTGATTCGGGAATCGGGAAACCAAATGAACAATTACCTGCCAGCTTTCTCAGAAGCTGCATACCGATCTAACCGGCATATGCTTCAGCTGACTTGGAAAGTTCATCATAGTCTCTGAAGTTCTCTTATGGTGCCTACCTACACAATCACACAATGCATTTTAACCCCTCACGAAGCAAGGTGTATGTTTCAAGGCATCAAGGCGTAAGCATTTTTTTAAATTTTAAATTTTTATATAGTACATATGAAAATTTTTTACAATAGTAAAAAAAAATGTTAAAAATTAAATATAAAGGTGTGAATACATTTTTCTTCAATACATCAAACATTTCACTACAAATAAAGAAGCTTGCCCTCATCGAAGGTAAAAACAACATTCTTAGCTTTAGTTATCAAGCTTCTCAATTAAGCCTTAGCTTCATTTTTATTTTTATTTTTATTGGTCATGTAATTGATGTTTTCCCCATGGAATATAATTACAAAAGAGGTTCACTTTTATGTTTAAACCATATATTAGATTAAGTTTAACAATAGCCCAAAACAAGTTCTCCTTATACGTACTCCTCACATGCTTATGAGTAAAAGGCATACCAGGCGTATGTGAAGTGCACGCTTCAAACTGTGATGCACAAGCCTTTGGGGAGTGTAGCCTATGCATGACTCGATGCAACCTTCATAACACTTTTAAACAAAACAAATTAGATAATGCATGTGGATTAATAAATCACTCTCACAATTTAGACATCCTCTGTGTAACCATTTAAAAGTACCTTTTCACATCCAAGAACCAAAGTTGCATTAATTCTAGGTCTTAAAAGCAAATCGAATGATACCTAGCAAATGCACATTAATTCTAACTACTACCCCACCAACAACCAAACTAATTAATGCTAACAAATACAAGCCATCTAAGGGAGTGAGAGCATAATTTTTAAACCTTTACAAACTAAAGAAAATTCCAATCAAAGATGAGAAACTTAGGGTATGTTTGGTTTGAGTTTGGGAGATGAGTTTTAGAAATAAAAAGTACGAAAAGTTGTTTGGTTTGATTTTTTTCAAAAGATGTTTTGGAAAATTATTTTGAGAGAGAGTTTTGGAAAAAATAATTGATTTGATGTGTATGAGAAAGAGATTTGTTGGGAAAACTTATAAACCAAACAAGTTTTGGAAAAATTTTTTGGGAAAATTTATTTTGTTTGATTACTTTTGAAAACTTATTTGTAGAGAATTTTTCCCAAAAAATTTTTGGGAAACACAAACCAAACAAGGCCTTAACCGTCTGGGCTGGAGAAAATTCGGAAGAGACATACAAACTACTAGCTTTTCCTTTGAAACTTATAATCAAACATGAAGAGTGAATTGATTGCAATACCTGACAATTATCCCCATACACAAGATCACCCGCTTCAATTCTCCGCTCATACTCAACCAGAGGTCCTACTTTGCTTACTTCTACAATCAAATCAAATTAAAACCCAAATCGAAATGTGAACATCATGCTAAAGATTATTTAACAAAATTGAAAAGGATAGAAAGGTAACCTCCATTAGCTACTTTAGCAGCATCAGCAAACAGAGCTCTTGATATCATATATGGATATGAATATCTACAAATTTCAGCATTGTAGGAGAATCTGTAGACAGAGCAAGTGCTAGCCAAATAATTTTGTTTTCTTGATAACCCACTTAATGGTCGAACAAATCGAACAATTGTTCTCATCTGAAACAAATCCAATGTTGAAGTGCTTCAAGTGTAATTCGCAAGAACCAAAATGCAAAAAGGTTCTGAAACAAATAGGACTCAAATATTATATTTTGTTATCATATTTATAGAATAGAATATATTCCTACAACTATACACAATTATTAACCCTTTGGACAGTTATGCAACTCAGAAAAGAGCTACTAAAAAGTGACAACTGTTAAAAACATAAATAAATGTAAAACAGGGGATAGATAAGAATAAAAAATTACATAAGAAAAACAAGTTAAATTTGAACATTCACATCACTAAAAAAGATAAGATAAAATAAAATAATAAAAAATAAACAAAAACAAAAACCTAGATTATAGTAATCTAAATTCAAGATTACAAAACCCCAATTGAAATTTCGAAAAATAACACACACACATCCACACAATATCAAAGAATGATTATTGATTTTCTTTACTGTTTCCAATCAAAAGTAAAACCAATATTTTCACCAGAAAATAAAATATTTTTTAAAGAACTAATGAAATTTACAATAATACAGGAATTGAGAGAAATGAACGTACATATCTTTACTTTAGCTGAATTAGGAGAAGAATCCTAAAAACACCCAGAACTGTGCCGAACTTGAAAAAAGAAAAAAGACTGATCTTTCACGGATTGAACAATCCTATACCTATGAATTATTGTGGAGACATGGCTATTTTAGCCCCAAATTTGAAAAAATAAAGAAAGTCAGTAGCCGTTACTGTAGCGAAGGGAGAGAGAAGTGGCCAGCTGTATGTCACTAAGTGGGTAAAAAGACTTTTTTACCCTTCGCTGATGTTTTTCCACAGGCCGAAGGGACAACTTCAGTCAATGCTATCATCTTCAGTCAACTTCTTTTAATTTTTTTTTTTAAATTAAAAGTTGGTAGAAGTGAGGGTCAAAGTTGAATAATAAATTGTATTTTTTGTAATAATTATATTTATTTCTTTAATTGTAACAATTATAAAATTACAAGAAAGGTGAAATAATAAATATAAACTGATTTAACTTATATTATTTATTTCTGTACAAAATAATTACTCAGTTTCCAGAAGTAAAATATATAATAAAATTACTTACCCAAAAAAAAATATATAATAAAATTTAATTAAAACGAAGCAAAAGTTATGCTATTTGTATAATTAAAATGAGACCAATTGTATAATTATTATAAAATATAAAATGAGAGTAATTGTACAATATATTATAAAATATAAAATATAATAATTGTAATAATTATATGTTTTTGTATAATTAATGAATTTGAAAGAAAGGTAAAAAAATTTATAATATTTATTTCTTTAATTTTTAAAATGAGACTAATATTTTGAAATAATAAAACTTCGAATAACAAAATTAATATTTTGGTAAAGAGGAAGTAATAAGTTTTGAGTATTTATTTCTATACTGAGATTTGTTGATGTTGTTGATTTATTAATTAATAAATCAAAATTTATTATAAAAATGCCCACCGACTCCATGAACTTAATTAATTTATTATTAGGTTTTTTGGCTCAATGAGCCATAAAAGACAGAATAGGCTCATGAATCACAACAGACAAAACATCTCATCGAACCCCATAATCATTACACTCTTCTATCACAAAAAAATAAAAAAAGCCAAAAAGCCAAAACCCTTTCCCAAACTAAGCTTTTGAGCCCAGGCTCATATAGTCAAAAAAGTCAAAAAGCTAAAAAACCAACCCACTTCCCAAACGGATGTTAGTAACTTTTTTACTTTTTTTAAACATGTCAAACCAGCCCTAATAATAAATTAATTAAGTTCATGGAGTCGGTGGGCATTTTTATAATAAATTTTGATTTATTAATTAATAAATCAACAACATCAACAAATCTCAGTATAGAAATAAATACTCAAAACTTATTACTTCCTCTTTACCAAAATATTAATTTTGTTATTCGAAGTTTTATTATTTCAAAATATTAGTCTCATTTTAAAAATTAAAGAAATAAATATTATAAATTTTTTTACCTTTCTTTCAAATTCATTAATTATACAAAAACATATAATTATTACAATTATTATATTTTATATTTTATAATATATTGTACAATTACTCTCATTTTATATTTTATAATAATTATACAATTGGTCTCATTTTAATTATACAAATAGCATAACTTTTGCTTCGTTTTAATTAAACCGAAGGGAAAGTCCGAATTTTCCCTTGAAATTTTACCAGAATCAGTTCGAACAGCATTTAATGAATGGCATGTGGCTTATTCCCGTGCTTATTCATTTTTAAATAAAAATAGAGAACTCTCCATCAGTAAGTCTGTAGTCCATTTCTCTATCCGTTTTGGCACACCCTTGATATGGAAATGAGATTTTGCTTGTGACTATCAGAACAAAGTCCCCCGACTTAAAAGAATCTTTTTTGTTAAATGGTGGAATAAAATGGATATAAAAGATCTCCTACAGAAAATTCACCAGCATACCCAAGCCTGTTGGGAATTCGTTAAACAGCCAGCTCTACCAGCACCATCTCAGGCGGTAGCCCTGAATCCGTTTATACAAATTCAGAAAGAATTAAAACTGAAATAGCCTCATCTTTCCGATAATGAATTAATTGTTAAAAGTATGGATTATCTGAAAGACCAGTTCCTTCAATTAGTAAGCCAAGATGATGATGCCTCCATGAGGTCAGGCACAAGTCAGACACCATCCGAACAAGATAGTGATCCAGCCGAACACGTGTTGGCAGGAGAGTCACAGATGCCCGAAGATGCTGAACCCAATCTTGGAGATTTTTGGGATTCGCTTACAGTTGTCATAGCAGAAAAAGTCGCCAAAGACAAAAGCAATAAAGGAAAGAGGCCCGAGCACTAGGCGTCGGTAGAAACAGACAAAGGACTTTTGAAAAAGAAGATACTCACTAACAGTAAAAAGGAGATGCTGCTCCCCACTCCGTCAAAAGCCGAAGATAAGAGGATAAGGTGGAATCTGTCGGTCCAGTCGAAGAGTAACACCTGTCCCCCTGCAATAATTTTCTTATCTTCTTTTGTATTATAAAGGGGCAGTTCTCACCCTTGTTGAGGTAGAGTCTTTCGGAGTCAGTTTTTATTTTTCATTTCCCTTGTAATACCTCTTCCAACCCCTCTGTGTAAAATAGTTTTACTTCTTCAATAAAACTTTTCCTTTGATGTATGCCCTCAGTTGATGCTTTAGAACAGTATTTGTGGTTATTACAATTTTGGCAAAACCAGAGAAACCATTATCTTAATACTCGTGTAGAACAGTATACCCAACAGTACATTACAGAACGTCTAGCTGAGTGTGATCGGCGGATAGCAGATTTGCAGACGTTGATCCACGATCAGATCATAGCGTGGGCGGCCAGTAGGCCTCCACCACCTCAACAGTAAGGTAATGAGATCATATATGTTGTAATTTGTTTTATTTATAATTATATTATGTGCACATTAATTCTTGGGTTTGTGCTATTGTAAGGTTAATTAATTGTGAGGGTTAGTGGGACGTCACCCAAGTCGCGTAGGGATTAGGTCGTTTAGCAGCGAGTGCGTGTGACCGTTTGATGCCCGTAAGTCGTTGACAGACGTGCTAGCCTTTACCTTTAGTGAGCACCTTTAATGGTATCAGAGCCAAGTTTTAATTTTCACATAAAATAAATATAAATCAAACAAATTAGGCATATATGATCATTTTACAACCATGACTGAAAATCAAGAGAATACTGTAGAAATACCAGGATCAGATACAGTCACAACAGTAGGAAATACAATTTCCTCCTTAGCCGAAGCAGCTGAACTAGTAGCTTACCAGGATGTGAAGGATGCCTTAGATAAATGGACTATCCCATCTGTTGACCCACAAGCCATTTACCGGAAGGGACGTTTCAACTTTTTCAGTAAAACTATAATCAAGACATTTGAACATGCATCTTGTATACAGAATAATGATGAAATAATCCGATTAATTCATATAAGTGATTTTATTCCGTTTTTAAAAACATACAAGTACATCCATATAGGATTAGTACAAATTGCATTCAAACCTTTGACCCTTCTTGGTCAAAATACCAGTATTCAATGCACCCTACGAGATGGTAGATGTCTGAACTGGAAAGCTTCACTTATGGGAGCTATTGAGACAAGTTTGTCTCATGGACCAGTGTATTTTGATATTTATCCGAATCTTAGCATAGCTCTCTGTGATGCTAATCTTTCTGATGTTTTAGAACTAAGAGTTCTTACTCACGGATACGAGTATAAACCTGGAACCCCTCCTTTTTCAGTTCACTCCAGAATTTATATCAAGGCTTTAACAACGTTAAATCCTTATGTGAGAAAGAAATCTGAGACAGGACAAACCGTGTTAATTGAAACCAATCTGTACAGTAGTCAGGTAGCAGTACCAAAGTTAATCCCCTGGAAGGATATAACATTTCCTGAAAGATGGCATATTCCTAACGTTGTGCCACCAAAACCGTTGATTCAACATAACATTGAGGATGTCATCAAGACTCAAGGACGTAATGTTTATCTCCAATTCCAGAAACCGTTACTTACCCGTAGTAGTTCTTCTAATGCTAGTTTTCGAACAGCGCCAAGAAGTTTTTCCAATAACAGTTTCCGATCTGTTCCACCTTATAGGGTAGATCTTCCAGAATCAAGTAGACAATCCGTTGACTCAATCTTTCAACAGATACCTTCTCGACCTCCTAGCAGACCACCTAGTGATCCACAGGAAGATCCAATGAATTCCGAAATCCAAGGAATCAGGCTATCTCAAAACCGAATTCCTCATGGTGTTTATACCACACCTCAACCAGAAAGCCCAACGGTCAGTGACATGAATTTTGAAATTTAAATGGATTTTACACCAGGAAGCGAAAATAGAAAAATATTAAACCAGGAATTTAACCAGACAAAATATAAAAACTTTAGAGATTGGTATTTTACCAACCATACCCCTGACCAGTTAAATGAATATAAAACTCAATTCTACCAACACCTTGAGTTACACCAGAAATTAATACCCTTTGTAGAATGGTATCAAACAGTAAATCAACCTCAGCTAAATGTTATTGAAGATCATTATAAAACCTAGACCACAACTGAAGGACAAGCTATTAGTGCTATACATCCGCCTCCTCAAGCATTAGAGTTAACCCCTAATGGTGAAACTACTCGGCAACCTTTAGTGGCAACAGCCTACATAGATGCCCAATCAGGAAAATTTACTAAAAACGATTATATTAAATTAATCGATTTCGGTTTAACAATTAAACAGCATAATTATACCAATTTAATCTGTCAAACCATGAGTAAACAATTAACCAGAATTGAAGAAGCTATCTTCACTTTTAAGGATAGAAGTTTAGCATTACCAGTCACAGGATCTTCGACTTTACATCCAGTATCCATTAAACTTCCCTTAGAGGTTAAGAACTTTAAGTTAAAAGCCTCTAATACAGAATTTATGGACACCCTTTTACAGAAAATGCAGACATTAAATGTCCGTCCTCCAGAACCAATTTTACCTCCACCTGGACAGTCCAGCGGCTCAGTACAGATGCTTAGAGCTGACTCTACACCTGAGGATAATCTTTCCCCTGAACAAATTTATGAAATTCAAATGAATTTCCAAGAACCTTCAACAGTTAATAAAA